TGAAACACAGACCAGCGCTGTCAACATCACCTGGAAAGCTATTTTTAAAGCCTGTTCCTCTGTGCCTTTCACCCACACACACGGGAAGCAGGTGCCAGAGACACACACTTCTCTCTAAAAGCACCTCCCAGTACTCTCTCTCCACGAAAAAGCACCATGACCCCGGAGGCTTATAAAACTCTAAGTGTCTCAGAACCCAGGGTGGACAATCTCATCCCCGACTCTCCTCCCCATTTCTAATCACATGCAAGCCTGCCCAGGATGGGTTTCCTTCAGTCTTATGAAGATCAACAGCATTTCCTGTGCCCTGTGCCTCATTAGCACGTCGGTGGTGTTGCTTCCTGTGGCTGACTCTGTGTTTCCATCTGGCAAAGTGGTTTGCTGTTTTTGCTCTGAGGTTCTGGCGGGTGGAGGATGACAAGTTTCTCACGGAGCCTTTCCTGGGCCTCTTGGCAGTTCCTCCCTCGGAGCCCCTCATGTTTGTACCAGAAGGCAGGGGCCGGACATTCTCCCTGAGTGGCCTCACGCTGGGAACACCAGTGCCCGGATGAGAGCTCACCTCCACCTGCCCCAGGTAGAACCAAACCTGTTGTTTTTGTAGGTTGAATCTACTCAGCCTGGCATTTCAGGGAGTCTTTTGGGAGGGGAAAGAAAGTTCGAGAATAGAAGATTGGAAACTTAAGAAAGAAAATTCAAAGACTTTTTTTTTTTTTAATGGCAAAGAATTTTTACGAATAAAGACTTAGGAAGAGGAAACCTTGAGAGTAAATTTGTGAATTGGGGAACGTTTGGAGGACACAGCAGATTAGGATTTCTATCATTCTTATATTTTCTAAAAATACACCGAGTGGTTAAATTCAAAACTCGAACCAGTTCGCCTCTTCTCCTGGGAGTCAGCAACTTAGGACTAGGAGCAGACATGCTGGCTAGCTCGTTATGACTGAGGAAAGGCACAGGCTTCGAAGCCAGAGAGCACCTCAGAGGCTCTCCCAGGATGGATGTCACCAACCCAGCCCTACGGCATAGCAAGAGTACCTTGCAGTCCAGCACTCCGCCGCGGGTGACTCTCGGCAGCCAGGAAGGGTGAGTGATCTGGGGTGGTGACCTCCATTTTCCCCTGCTTTAGTCAGAAGCCTTGTCCACTCCAAGGATCCTTTAACCCAGCAGTGCTTTTGCTCCTCACGACCAGGCTCAGGTCCACTAAGAACACCAAGCTTAAGCTCAGCAACATTTGCTCGGAGTTGGGGGGAGGAAAAAAAAGGAGATGTTGGGGGTGAAGAAAAATTGTTGGTTGGATTTCCTGGCCTGGTTGGATCTTTCTTCTCTCAGAGACCCTGATCTCTGTCCCCAATCTATAGAAACAAAAAGCCCATTGTCCTAAGGATGTGTTTTTAGATCCTACAACCTAACCACACATAGAAAATGTAATAATGGATGTAATAGAGATATGTCTTTAGAGTCTAAAAACTCACAGAACTAACTGCAGTTGTAAATTCATTGCTAATGCTTTCAGTCCCAGGCAAACAAAAATAAAAGGTCCATCAGGAGTTGAAACTTTAGCAACTCTGATAGACATAAATTTCAGTGCTATGGTAAAAATAAAAACCCAGGATAGTAAATTTTAAAATTGCTTAGATTGGGGAAACAAATGTTGTTATCAGAACCAAAACCCATCGCTTCCAGGCGGACATGGGCCTCGATGAGGAATGAATTTGTGAAAGTTGTCACAAGGCTGAAGCACTCCTCCCAAACGACTTCTTTTTTAATATAATTTTTATTTTTTAATCAACAAATACAAATTGTGTCTATTTATTGTGTACAACATGTTGATCTAAAATATGTATTCACTGTGGGATGGCTAAATAGAGCTAAGTAATGGAGGCCCTATTTCACATACTGTTTCCTTTTGTGTATCTGTGATAATACTTGAGACCCACTGGAAGCAATGTTCAAGGGTACAAAGCATTATTTTTAACAATGCCATGTTTTATGATAGAGCTCCTGAACTTATTCCTTCAATCTAAATGAAATTTTGTATCCTTTGATCAACATCTCCACAGCCCCTGATAAACACCACTCTACCCTGCTTCTGTGAGTTCAACTTTTTTAGATTCCACATATAAAGTGAGATTATGCAGTATTTGTCTTTCTGTGTCTGACTTATTCCACATAGCATAATAACCTTCTGGTTCATCCACATAGTCACAAAGATTTTCTCCCTTTCTAAGACTGAGTAGAATCCATGGTGTATATATATATATATCACATTCCCTTTCTCCATTCATCTGCTGATGGGCACTTAGATTGATTTCAAATCTTGGCTATTGTGATAACGTGGCACTGTGGACACCTCTCAATAAACGTGGGAGTGCAGCTGTACTGACTTCATTTACTTTGGGTCTATAGCCAGTAGTGGGATTGGTGAATCATGGGGTCGCTCTCTTTTTAATTTTTTGAAGAACTTTCATACTGTTTTCCATAATGGCGGTACTACCCTCAAAACTATTTTCTATTCATTTGTTTATCATTTCACTCACTCCTTCACTTAATAAATATTCATCAGGCTCCTGCTCGGTACTAGGCACTGTTGAAGGCACCAGGTGACCAGGACAGACAAGTCCATGACCTCCTGAAGCTAAGAGTGTCAGATGAAAAATAGATAAACAAATGAAGGTTTAATATAATCTCAACCCGTCGTAAATGCTTTGAAGGACACAATAGAACAGAGTAAGGAGATTGCAAGTAAAAGTGTGGCCAGGAGAGACTGAGGAGTTCACATGTCAGAAGAGACTTGAGTGAAGTGAGGGACTAAGCCATGCAGAGAGCTGGGAGAGGGAGAGAGAGATCTGAGACAGTCCCCTGCCTTGCATAGGAAGGAACAGCAAGGAGCCCTGGAGGTCAAGATCAGAGGAAAGGTAGTAGGAAATGAGATCAGAGGGTAGGCAGAGGCAAGATTATATGGAGCCATAAAATCCTTACTGGGCAGGGACTGTAGCCTTTCTTCCAAGGGTGACAGGAAGCCATGGAAGGCTACAAGCAGAGAAGGAACCTGGTCTGCCTTATTGTTTGCAATGATCATGCYGGCTCCTGTGGGGAAGATGGATGTGGGCCAAGAGGAAAACCAGGGCAGCCATTAGGAAGGTTATTGCAAAGTTCCAGGTGGAACTCATGCTGGCTGGGACCAGGGTGGAGGCAGGAGAGGAATAAGAGGTAACTGGGTTTGGGGTAGAGGTCCATGCCCAGGGTAAAGCAGACAGAATGTGCTGGTGAACTAGAAGGAGGGCATAAAGAAAAAGAGCAGTCAAGGATGGCACCAAGGAGCCAGACGCAGTGGCACACGCCTGTAATCCCAGTGGCTCAGGAAACTGAGATAGGAGAATCGTGAGTTCAAAGTTAGCCTCAGCAATGGCGAGGCCCTAAGCAACTCAATGAGACCTTGTCTCTAAATAAAATTCAAAATGGAGATGAGGCTCAGTGGTTAAGTGCCCCTGGATTAAAAAAAAAATAATAAGTCACCAATGTTTCTGATCATGCCACTAGATGAGAAATACCAAAGGAGGAGGAGCAAGTAGCTAGCACTGTGGTGGGGGTCGGGGACAGGAGCATGGGGCAGGGGAAGAAAAGAAAGGTGGATTATTAGCTTAAAATTTGGAGGACAGAAACCTTTCCTGGTAGTAATCTGGTTTCTAATGTTCAGGGGTGGCAGTTCAGTTACTGATTCCTGCTGTAACCTCCGCTGGCTGCTTCCTGTTTCAGTAGGTACAGCTGCCTGGGGTTGCACTCATCTGAATCCATTTCAACACCCAAGCAAACAGAGGGTGACTCGGGCCCTGCCAGGGAATTGCAAGGTAGCACAGAACTCACATTGGTTCAATTCTACACAACAGTCGGGTGTTGCCTGGAGACCAGCTCCACAAGTTGGGGGTTACTCAAGTTCATACTACTTGGACTCTGTCACAGAGCCACTCCCTAATTGTGAGTTGGGTAATCTTCTCCTCCAAGCAAGCCAGGAATCCCAGGAGTGGGAATGAGGAGAAACAGGGGCAGAGGGATTTGATTTTGCAAGTTTGGAGGACAGTGTGACAGGGCTAAAAGAGCAAGATCTTTGAACCCTAGCAGACCTAGACTCATGTTGCACCTCTGTGCCTTTCTACCTATGTAATCTCGGACAAGGTACCTTTCCTGAGTCTAAATCTCGGGATCCCTGGCCTCAAAACAAGATAGGGTTGTTCTAAAGACTGAATAAGTTGCACATGCAAACCTCTAGCACTTGGTAGGCATTCTAAAGGGATGGTTCTCTTCTGCCATGTCCAAGTCCCCTCTCCTTGTAGTCACTATTCAGAGATGACCCTCTCTTCCGCCCCTTGGTGGACTCCTCCTCGGCTTTCCTTGCTTGGGCTCCTGTTCCAAATCTTTGAGCTCTAACTCCTGAAGGAAACATTTTCTCCACCCACCTCCCCACCACCCCACAGCCAGCCGGAGCATGGCACTTGGTTTTCCTCCTAGAGATAACGACAAGAGCAGCATCATCTTTTCTGGGTTAGTGGGACTCCTGGCTGTCCTCCTGCTCATCACAGTGGCCTGCATCCTGTGGAACTGGAACAAACGGAAGAAGCGTGAGTCCTTGTATATCTTCAGTTGAGACATAGGAGGGCTAATCCTCCAGCCTGGCATGGCTCTGAGGAGTCCTGTGCCCTTACCTGGCACACTGGTCCTCCGTTGCAGTGCACTGGGATCAGAAGAACGTGGCTCAAGTGCCCCTGCAGCCAGTTTCACCCTCGTCCTGCCTCTGTCCCATGAGTCCCCTATTCCTTTAGTTTAAATGGCACTGGAGGACAGTGTGGCAGAATTTCAAATGGAAATTCTGGCTCAAGTCTAAAAAGATAATTTTTTTTATGCTACCAGGTAGGGGTGGGGAACATTTCCAGGGAGCATCTTGTCCCCAAGAGTCCTCACAGTTGACCCGTGCCATGATCCCCATCTCTCTCACTGCTTTGCAGGGCGGGTTCCTTACCTCCCAGTGACTGCCATGCCCTCATTGACTCTGCCTCGACCCAGACCACGAGCCAAAAATATTTACGATCTCTTGCCTCAGCGGCAAGAAGAGCTGGGTAAGTTTTTCCTTCTGATCTGTGCAGTCCTGGTACCTGAACTCCAGCTCCCAGAATGCACCTCTCTCCACCTGGAAGCAACTTGCTCCAAGCTTCCAGAGAGCCCTTCAGAGAGCACTGAGAAGAAGGAGTTAGGTAGACTGTAAGCTGCACTCCAGGGGAGGCCCGGAGAGCTCTGAAAAGGAAGCAAGGATCATCCTGGCTTGGGGTTGTGGCTTTTCTTGACATTAAGGCAGCAGAGGAGAGCCGCATGTGTCCAGGTGTGGGGAGGACCTGCCTAAGGAGACCCTGGAGCCAGCATCACGGGTAGAGACGGGGGAATGCTCTGCAGGAGCTTCCAAGGAGGCCTCCAAGTCTCAGAGCACAGAAGCCTGGCAGGTCGGATCCTGTCATCACGGAACACCAGGCTCCGTCTGGAAATACCAGGTCCCACACAAACCCAGCTCAGCCACCACGCAGGGAGAGTTTGAGCTGAAGCACACAGAAGACTGTCTTCAGGTTTCATTCTCTGTCCTTTCAGGGAGACATCAGCCGAGGAGTATCCGCATGTTCAGTGCCGAGAGCCTCCTGTCCAGAAATTCCGACAGCCCGGAGCATATGGTAAGAGTCAAGTGAAGGATTGGGGTGTAGCTCAGTGACAAGGCACCTGCTCAGCATGTGGGAAGTCCTGATTTTATCCCCGGCCCTGGGGGAAAAAAAAGTCAAGCGAAAAGACAAGCCCCCAGAGAGAATGACAGGTCTCTGGCCGAAGAACTGAAGGGAATGAGTCGTAGGTCTCGGATCTGGTTTCACGACAAACAGCATGTCCTCTGGCCCTCACCTTGCAGGCCTATTAATAAATTGAGATGACCAGCTGCAGACCTCCCTACTGCCCAAGGAGAAAAATTAAGAAAGACAGGAGCAAGTGCTTGGGGTTTTAAGAAAGGCAAAAGTATTCAAGTACATAATGTGGAACTGAAATTGACTATTTTAACAAAGATATGATAATGTGCTTATCCAATGAGTGTCAGAGGTGGGTATCATTTTGAGTACTGATGACGCTATTGATACTCAAGACACTTAAAACCCAGCTCTGGGAGTTACTTCTAGGGTTTGTGTCAAATTGTCTCCATGATCCTCAAAGCAAAAATCTCCATAAATCATTCATTCAGCCCTGAAGCCCTTGTAGAAAGTGTTTGATCAAATGAAGGTGTCTTGGTCCATTTGAGGTAATTTATTTTAATTTAAATTTTTTTTTTAGTTGTAGATGGAAAGAATGCCTTTATTTTATTTATTTTTTCATTTGGTGCTGAGGATCGAACCCAGTGCCTCACGCATGTGACTCAGCTCTGCCACTGAGCTACAGCCCCAGCCCCATTTAGTGTAACTTCTATTGGATAGAAGTTTATTTGTTTTGCCCTTCTGGAAACTGCAAAGTCCAAAATCAAGGGACTGCATCTGGTGAAGACCTTCTTGCTTGTTATAACATGATGAGGGAAAGAAAAGAGAGAGAAGAGGGAAGTATTCATCCTTTTATCAGGAACCCGCTTCTCTGATAACTAACTAGTGATCAGTAACTGCCACGACAACAGCGTTAATCACCTCTTAAAGGTCCCACCTCTCAATACTGTTGCAACAGGGAGTAGGACTTCCACACATGGGCAGGGAGCCGTGGCCCCCTCACCTGTAATCCCAGTGGCTTGGGAAGCTGAGGCAGGAAGATCACATGTTCAAAACCAGCCCCAGGAAAAATGAAGCACTAAGCAACTCAGTGAAACCCTGTCTCTAAATAAAATACAAAATAGGGCTGGGATGGGACTCTGTGGTAGAGTGCCCCTGACTTCAATCTCCAGTACCAAAAAGAAAAACAACTGCTTCTACACATGGACTTGGGGAGACCGTTCAGTTCACCATGGGGACAGCCTCTGGGGCTACGAGCGGGGGGTTAGGATTCACAGAGGTAGTCCTGTGTGTTTCATAATCTCGCTTTGAAGGTGGCTCCCGAGGATGATTTCAACAACAGTTTGGTGACAGTGGGGCTACTTTGAATGCCAGGGTCCTGATTTTCGTACACATGTTATTTGCTTGTTAAAAAACCAGTCCCTCTGGTTTTGCGGTCATCCTTGGGCAAGTGCAGCGAGACTGCTGATGGACAATCTGTTGTCACTCGGCCTGTCATCATCCAGTTTCCCAGAAGTTTAGGTTCCTTTACCATGCAGCCACCCCACGTCACCACTTTTGCTTCCTCTTCCTCCTCCCACTCACTGGCCTCTACTCCTGCCTGTAACTTCCTGGGTAACGAGTCTGAGTGGCTGAGAAAGGGCAGAGCAGAGGAAATTCCCTGCCAAAGCCATTCAAAGACCTGGGTAGTCCCTGAGGACATTTTGCAGTTAGAGCTTAGGTCCCAGTCTTTTTTTTTTTTTTTGTATTGGGGATTGAACCCAAGAGGGCTTTACCACTGAGCTCCATCCTCTGTCACTTAATTTTTAAATTTTTTTAAATTTATTTTGAGGCAGGATCTTACTAAGTGGTCATCCTTGGGCAAGTGCAGCGAGACTGCTGATGGACAATCTGTTGTCACTCGGCCCATCATCATCCAGTTTCCCAGAAATTTAGGTTTCTTTACTATGCAGCCACGCCATGTCACCACTTTTGCTTCCTCTTTTTCTAAATTGCTTAAATTTTGCTATCCCCATGGTGATCCGAATGGTCTCCCCAAGTCCCTGTGCTGAAGTTTTGTTTTTGTTTTTGTTTGGTACTGGAGATTGAACTCAGGGGCACTCGACCACAGAGTCACATCCCAGGCCCTATTTTGTATTTTATTTAGAGACAGGGTCTCACTGAGTTGCTTCATGCTTCACTAATTGCTAAATTCCACTAATTCTTCCACTAAATTGCTGAACCCGCCTCAGCCTCCAGAGTCTTTGGGATTACAGGCGTGTGCCACCAGGCTGTGTGACTCAAACTGTCTTAGGCCCACACAGATGTTTGGTTTGTACTCTGTAGTGTTTGAAGAACACGCTGAATGAGTTACCAACATGTGAATATTGAAGATATTACAGATCGAAAAATCCAGATATCCAGCTTTTCTTGAAAATTCAGAAATTCTGGAAACATCAGACCAGGATCCCTAAATGGCAATGAGCAGCTGGAGCTGTGCACCAGTGTCCCTTTAGAAATAATAGCAAGCATTTCTTGGTGTCGTCGGTGTGCTATTCTAAGCGCCTTATATGTATCTGATCCTTTTATCTCTCACAAAAACCTTTATGAAGTTGATACAATGATGATCCTCATTTGACAAATTAGAGAATAAAGACAGAAAGATGAGGTGAAGTGGTCTAACTCACTCAGCACCAATCTGAGCCTTTGCCTTTAGTCCCTGTGCCATATTGCTTCTCAGTGTGATCTGGGGACGCAGGCTCTCTCTAGTTTATGACACTTCCTCCCCATGCCCCACTGAACCCCCACACTGTGGCCAAAACCCAGTTGCAGCCTGTCATCCCATTTACATGATTGCGCTTCTTAAACTCAGTCCACGTCATTCATACCTGTCTGACAGCTAGAGCCTTGTGGTCTGAGACCCCAGATAGAGGACTGAATGAAGGAACCAGGTGGCACTAGTAAGTGGCGCACAGGGAAGAAGAGAGACATTGTCCACATTTCTGCTTCCATCCTGTCACTTTCTCTTCTTCTTCACAGCCCTCCCAAGCAGAGAGCACCCTCCAGATGCACACAGCCCATATCCACACCATGGGATACGCAGTTGGTGTCTACGACAATGCCACGGTGCCCCAGGTGTGCAGGAACGTCACTCCCTCGACACACTACGTCAATGTCAGAGCTTCCAGGGATGTCTCGAGCACTTCTTCAGAGGATTCAAATGATTATGTCAATGTCCCCACAGCAGAAGAGATGGCTGGGACTCTAACTCCTAATGACAGCCTGCCTGAAAGTCTCCTTGTTCTTTCCAGCGCCCAGCAGTCAGACTTACCTGAGAAAAGACACGAGGGCTGTGGGGATGCCAGTGACTGTACCAGCTTTTGGGCTCCAGGAACTAAGGACAGCGATCCACTCAGCGATGGGGAGGATTCTTCTCAGACCTCCAATGACTATGTCAACATGACAGGTTTGGATCTCGAGGACAGCCAAGAGGAGTTGCCCTGGGTGGCTTTTCAATGCTGCAGAGATTATGAGAATGTCCCACCAGCAGATCCCAAGGGAAGCCAGCAGCAAACTGAGGAAGAAGTGACATCTTCAAACACAGGCCATGAAGAGGAAAAGACAGATGGCCCGGGGACTGACATCCATCCTCTCACAAGGAATTCCCTATCTTCAGGGCACTGTGTATCCCCACTGTGTGAGGACTGTCAGATGAAACCTGAAGAAGAAATGTCACACGAAGACACTCATGACTATGAGAATGTGCTACCTGCCAAGTTAGGAGGCGGAGACAGGGAGCAGGGGCCTGGTGCTCAGCTCCCTCCTGATGAATGAATACCGTTGTCCAGCTGGAAAGCCACACGAAGTGGTCTCTCCTGTTGGTTCCTCAGCCGCTGAAGAGTCTCTAGTGAAGACCCTTGACCACCCTCGTCTGTTAGTGGATTCCCTTGGTTAGATTAGCCAGAGGCTGAAAGGAGCTAGAAGCTCAAAGGCTGCCCGAAGGCAAAGGTTTGGGAAATCCAGGAAGGAATGCTTCTCCAGCAAAGGGCTGTTGTCTCTCAGGCCAGCCTAAGAATGTCTGCGGGAACTGCCCTTCCCGACTGTTGGGAAATAGAAGAAGAGAGAACTTAGCACCCAGAGGAAGAGGGCTGATCACCTGCACCAATACCAGCAGGTGGCAAGGGTGTAGATTATTTTGTGATCCAGGCAGAGACCTAAGGAAAGGAGAAGTTGTTTTAAAAAGTAGACAACAAAATGCTGGTGAGGATGCAAAACAACGGGAATTCTCATTCTCACCAATTTTCATTCTCACTATTTTGAAAAACTGTATGGCGGTTTCTTATAAGGATCTAGCTATGGGAGGCAGCCATTTCACTACCAGAAACTGACCCAAGTCAACTGGAATCTTACACTCACACAAAAACCTACACATGACGGTTTAATAGCAGTTTCATTAATAATTGCAAAAAAAAAAAAAACTAGAAATAATCCAGATGTGCTTCCACAGAAGAATGGATAAACCAACTGTGGATATTCAATCCATGAGTGGCTATGAGCCTGTCCATACTCAGCAGGAAAAAGGAATGAACCATTGGTTCAAATGACAACATGCTCTTAAATGCATTTTGCTAAGTGAAAGAGGCTTAGACTTAAAGAGCTCCATATTTGTAAGACATTCAGAAAAAGGCAAAGTAATAGGAATGGAAAATATGTCCGTGTGAAGAAACGAGGCTCTCACTATGAGGACCTGCACAAGGGAATCTTTAGGTGACAGACTGTTCTACATGGTACTTTGGTGGCGGGTTTGTAACTGTATTCATTTATCAAAACACAGAGAAGCACATACCATGAAGAGAGACTTTTATTTATGTGAATATAAAAAAGATAATCAGGCTATCCTGAAAACTCAGAGTATGACAAATGAGTCTAGTTGTATAACAAATGTATAACATAACCTCATTGAAGGGAGTGAGGGATTAAAAAAAAAAACTAAACTTAAACTTGGAAAGCAATGTTTTGGCTTAAAATTATAAGATTAAAATCAGAAAGAACTGTATACAAACAGTGCAGTATTGTTGGCAAATTGTCTTGCACAGATACGGGGTTGGCAATTCTGAAACTACTTTGTGTACTAGGGTTGTACAGATAAATAAATCTACTGTTGATAAAGAGAGAGAGGTTTCACACTGGCCCAGAAAGAAACAACAATGAGGTAGGGAAAGCTAGGAGGGACCCTGCGAGGTTGCATTAGAGTTGGCAATACAGCTTGAACGCTTGTTTATTTTAATAAGGATACAAAGAAATAAATATGTATACATAAGCGTATACAAACATATGCTTCCTGGTATTGTCCATTAAGAGGGCCAAGAAGTAATGACACCCCAGCAGCAATGACCACACTCAGCACCCAGATCTTAGTTTCAAAATGCTATTCTCCAACAAAAGGAACCCAAGTCCCTTGGAGAAATGGCTAGTTCTAGGGCTGAGATGGAGAAAATGCAGAATGAGCTTGTGTATCTTACAGAAAAGGAGTGGAAGAGAGAGAGAGAGGGAAGAGATGACCACATGTCAAAAAAAAAATGCACCTGGCAGACATGGTAGCACATGYCTAAAATCCCAGAGACTCTGGAGGATTGCAAGTTCCAGGCCAGCCTGGGCAACTTTACAAGACCCTATCTCAAATAAAAAGGGTTGGGGGTGTAGCTCAGTGATGGGGTACCCCTTGGTACAAACCTCATTACCAAGGGGGGGAAAAAAAAACAAAAGATCCAACTAAAAGAGCTCCCAAAGACAAAGCGAGAACAATTTGAGCAAGAAAAATTTAAAAAAATTATAATACTGACTGAGTTCAATCCCCGGTACCCTCTCCACTAAAAAACAATGATTAATAATCCAAAGAACAAAATACATATCCATGAATGCATGACAAGGTGGAATAAATAAATTGGAGGAAAGGGATACATTTTCTTTACAGATGAGTTCTAAATAATATATGTAGAATGAAGGAAATAGAAAAATCTCCATTAAGATACCACAAAATGATTGCTACAGGCAAATCTACYGATGAATACAAAATTAGTGAGTAATACTTTAAGGAGAAAAAAGAAAGTTGCACATTCTCAAAAAATATTCCTCAATGCCAGGGGCGGTGGCATACATTTGTAATTCCTGTGGCTCGGGAGGCTGAGGCAGGAAAATCATGAGTTCAAAGCTAGCCTCAGCAACTTAGTGAGGCCCTAAGCAACTCAGCAAGAACCTGTCTCTAAATAAAATACAAAAAAAAGGTGGGGGGAGGCTGAAGTTGTAGCTCAGTGGTAGAGCGCTTGCCTAGCATGTGTGAGGCACTGGGTTCRATCCTCAGTACCACATAGAAATAAATAAAGACATTATGTCCATATACAACTAAAAAAAAAGGCTAGGGATGTGGCTTGAGTGGTTGAGTGCCCCTGGGTTCAATCTCTGGTACCAAAAATAAAACAAAACAAAACAAAAAAAATATATATTCCTCAAATTACTGTTTGTTTGTTTTTAAYGTGGTGCTGAGAATCAAACCCAGGGCCTCACTAATGCTAGGCAAGCACTTTACCACTGAGCTACAACCCCAACCCTTACTGTAGTTAGCCTTCTTTGCTGGCTCTTCTTCACTCGACTTCCTGTGTTGGAGCCATAGGTAGGACTTTTTTTTTTTTTTTTCCCTGTGGTGCTGGGGAGTGAACCCAAGACCTTGTGCCTATGAGGCAATCACTCTACCAACTGAGCTATATCCCCAGCCCCCAGCATCTCCATCTTTAAAGAGAACGCATGGTGTGCTAAAAACTTGTCTGGGTCCTAGATACATAACCATGAATAAGACAGAAAACAACTCTGTCCTCAAGAGAACGCAATCGAGTGGGGAGGCAGATAAGAACAAATAGGGTAATAATTAACACATTGGGACMAGAGCTGTAGTGCTCCGAGGGCAATGAAATGAACAGGATCATGAGGTAGGGACAATGGGGAAGACCTGTTAGAATGGTCAGAAAGGGCCTCTGAGTGGCCCATGCCATGAGTGAGGCCTGAAAAGGAGCTGGCCAGGTGAACTACTAGGGAAGAACATTCCAGAAGGAGCCACAAGTACAAAGGCTCAGAGGCAGCAAGGGTCTCAGTGTGTTCGAAGAACTGAAAGAAGGCCACTGTGGCTGCCATGTGAAGAATGATGGGAGAATGTACAGACAACATACTGACTGCAATTTTTTTTTTTTTTTAAAGAGAGAGGAGAGAGAGAGAGAGAGAGAGAGAATTTTTTTTTAATATTTATTTTTTTAGTTCTCGGCGGACACAACATCTTTGTTGGTATGTGGTGCTGAGGATTGAACCCGGGCCGCACGCATGCCAGGCGAGCGCGCTACCGCTGAGCCATATCTCCAGCCCCTGACTGCAATTTTTAAAGCAAAAATCAGATCTTGCTTAAAACTCTTAAATGGCTTCCTGCTGCAACTAGAATAAAACCCTGCCCAGTCTTCTGTGGCTCACAGAGCATGCTTGACCTGGTGCTGTCTTCATCCTCCTTTCCCAGCAAAACACACACAACACACATAAACTCACACACACATACACATACACACACACACACACACACACACACACACACCAGTATTTTTGACACAGTAGGTCTGAGGTTGGTTCTGAGTTTGCACTTCTAACAAGATTCCAAGCATTGCTAAACACTACTTGCTGGGCTAATAAGAAGTTGCAGTCTTTTCTGGGGTTACTTTCTTCTCTTGTTTTTGGGAATCTCCATGACAACAGTGTGTCCATGATTAGCCYTGGTTACTGCTTATACTTTGGTGGCCTGAGCTTTACCCTAAAATTCCTAGTCCTTCATAGCCTTTCAGATAACACTCTAACCAAGTCACTTATGCCTTCTGGCCTCTTCCCCAGCCATGGGCAACCAGACATCTGCTGGCATTACTTACAATATATGGAATATATGGAAACATATATTCACTGCTCAATAGAGCTGGAAACCTGTCACAGAATTAGTGGGGTTTTTTTGAGTACTGGGGATTGAACCAGGGGGGCTTATAACTACTAATCCACATCTCCAGCCCTTTTTATTTTTTATTTTGAGGCAAGATCTTACTAAGTTGCTTAAGGCCTYGATAAGTTGCTGAGGCTGGCTTTGAACTTGGGATCCTCCTGCRTCAGCCTCCTGAGCTGCTGGAATTAACAGGCATGCACCACTGCACCCAGTTAGTATCAATTTTTTACCTCAAACCCCAGAAGTCCTGAAGGAATAAAACTACTTTACTGACTACTAAAGGCCTTAGTTTGGGCCTCTGTAGACATTGACACTTGTGAAATGAGAGAGAACACACTCAATCTTCATTCAGCCCAGTCAGGCTATCCCACGTAAAGCAGTCTGGTCTCTGTGTGGTAGAGGACACTCACTTCATACACATGCACTTTAGAGTTGCCGCCTTCTGCCTCCATCTCAACTCAACCCTCAGGAYGCACTATGCACTGTAAAAGGGCCTCCTTCTTAGGCCTTTGAAGGGAGTCTCATTCAGTGATCCCAAAAGCCATTTATCCCCTTGGGAAGCAGCTTGTCTTCCTGAAATCAAACTTTGGCTGAGTATTCCCAATCCATCAGACAGAGCTTGCTTCCCCACTCCCCGCCCCCCCAGTACTGGGAATTTAACCCAGGGGTGCTCTACTACTGAGCTACTTCCCCAGCACTTTTCTAAAATTTGGAGACGAGGTCTCTCTAAGCTTCCCAGGCTGGTCTCAAACTGGAGATCTTTCTGTCTCAGCCTCCTAAATAGCTAAGAGTACAGGCCTGTGACACCATGCACTGCTCAGACATATTATTATAGTCTTAAATCTTAGTGGGGTTAGAGTTCCTGYTCCCTCTGTTTTTGGGAATGAGTCAGTTTCTGAAGAAACCTGTGGCTATAGAAAGATAGAAGGGATTCCACTAAAATCTACCAACTGCTGCACRTAAAGGTGCACAGCTGCAATCCCAGAGGCTCTGGAGGCTGAGGCAGGAGAATCAGAAGTTCAAAGCCAACCCCAGCAATTTAGTGAGGCCCTAAGCAATGTAGGGAGACCCTGTCTCAAAATAAAAAATAAAAAGGGCTGGGGTTGGGGCTCAGTGGCTAAGTGCCCCTGGGTTCAATCCCAGGTACCTAAAATAAACTTTAATAAACTAATTTATTTAATTTAACCAACTGAGCCCCACAAGTAAATAGGTGTGTTAGGGACTGCTAACTGCTAAACTCTTCAGCAGTAGGTCAAGATCCTATCCAGACAAAAACGTCCTTCTGGGCCTCTGAAATACCTGGAAGGTGTTTATACTTAGTGAAACTTTGTCTCAAAAAAATAAAAGGCTGTGATGTACACCTGGTTCAGTCCCCAGCATGAGGATGGGGCGTGTTAACATGCCACAGTATAAATGACAGCACTGTTGACAGTTTCTGCCTTAGAAATGTTATGCCAGATTCGTGGGACCCCAATAGACCTCCAGGAGCCAA